CCAGTCTGTGGTGGTGTTTCTGGGACCCTGGAAAATTCTCCTTCCCTGACTTTAACAAGGGTAATGACCTCGTGGGACCACGGTCACCCAGAATGCCAAGGCTTTGGTGCCACCACCGGTCTCAAAACCGTTGGGGCTCCGTTTGAGGGCCGGCCACACACACATGGCCTCTCCGGGGCCATTTGTATCACGTACCCCAGACCTCACGGAGAAGGCCCCTCCCCCACTCAGAGGCCCCATCCTAACCGCGGAGGCCACCCTGTCAGTCTTGTCATCTGACGGGAGGGCCTACCCTCCAGGTCGCTGCCACCGCAGCCCGAGGGTCCCCTGGCAGGCGGGGGGATTAGAAGGTCCAGGCAGCGAACATGCTGACTGTGGCTGCCGCTTCCTGTTCCCTGAAAGCACTTCTCCGAGCCGTGTGACCCCACCGAAGCTGCAGCAGAGAACCGAAGGGTGACGTGCAGAAGGGCGAGCCAAGAGGACATGGGCCTGGATGACACCGCGTCCCAGCAGAGCGCTTCCGACGAGCAGTAGTGGAAAGGGAGCGGCGCCGGCAGGGAAAGGCTCTCTCCACCCACCTTCCCTCTTCTCCCTATTCCCTATTCCCGACACAATACGCGAGCCGCTCCTCACCCAAGGGGGCTCTTCCACCGGGAAATGGGAGCAGTTCAGATACAGTACCAATGTTTACTCAGGTTCTTAAAAAGTCTCACGTGACGGGGGACAGAGACACCACACTTCTTCCCCCCAGGCCCTGCACAAAGAGTTTGACGGTTCAAACAAAAGCCATCTAATATCTGAAAACGAGTACAGCAGGTACAGCCCACGAGTAACTCCTTGCTGCCCTGGTGAGAACAAGACCACTGTGTGCCGGTAACTGGCACTTTGTCCACTGCTGTTACCAGGAGGGACAGGAGGGCGGGCTGTGTGTCCAAGTCCAGCCCCCGTATAAGGAATCTCACTGTTCGTAGCACATGTGCGGCTGAAGGAGCAGGCAGCAGCACCTCCCTCTCAGAACTCTGGCAATGCATGTAGTCCCGTCTTCCGTGCTCTGTGAGGAGCCAGCATAAATCAGGATGGGAGTTCAGAAATGGGGCCCATGGCCAGACACCCTGGGCCACGCAGTATTCCACGTCCCAGTGATTCTGGGCCACCAGTAACCTCCGCTCCCCCAGGCATGTGTGCTAATCTTCCAAGCTGAGCAGCCCTGCTGTGCCACAAGCACACTTGCAGACACCTTTGTTTTGGGAATAAAATGTTTATACAGTTATTGCTGTGTTTGTCTGGTGGTGCAATTGTTTCATTTCTAAAAACATGTCCGTGACTAAAATGCACTAAAATATATCCATTCCTAAAAGCGAGATTGGTACTTGGGCAAATCCTGAGACAACTTTTCCCATCTTCAAACTCCCACTGGGGAGGGAAAACCTGGATTTTTTGCTGATAGGAGGAAGAACAGGAGTCCTGAACGGCCCGCATAACGGATTTTACACTGGCAGTCACTGTGGGACCGTCCCTTGGAAAGACAATAGCTAGAAAGAAATACTCAATTTAGAACAGTCACAAAATGTCTTCAAAGCATCTAGGATTTGGAAGTTGGAGTGGGGGACAAAGAGGGAGGACACATATAGCAGAAAACCTCTTAGCACTGGAAGTAGGTGGTAATGCTTTTAATTTTTTTATAAGATAAGAATTAGCAATTAACAGCAAATAGGAGGGTTTTCTAATTGAGAGACAAGATACCATCACAGGATAATCCCTAGAGACAGACTTCATTTCTGGTTCGTTCTCAGCTATTGGTCTAATAAGATGAAGATGTTACCTGCCACAGCTTCAGGCCCTAGCTCCCCACCACCTAGCCTGGCCCTTGGGACTAAAAGACGGCCCCGAGTCATGTGCAGTCCCACACTGGGTGTGCCCTTGAGTTCAACATGCAAGAGGCATGCGACTGGCAGTGGTCAGAGTAGAGCACAGCTGACCACTCCTCAGGCATCCAGAAGAAAGCACACCCAGGGACCCCACCCCAAGATGAACCTCAAGGGGGACAGGGATGGCTGTGCGCCCACCCTTCACCCACACACAGGCTCACAAGCTGCTTCTCTCCCTGTGCAGCCTCATATCCATGTGTGCACAGAGGTGCACACACTTGCACCCACCAGACAAGGATGAGTTGCTCGGGGCTCCTCTCAGCCAGTTGGCCCCTGGCAGTGATGCAGCCTCAGCTTTGATAACGTGCGATTCATGAACCTGTGGCCCTGGTCCCTGAGGCAGTCAGCTTCGTGGCTGCCACCATGTAGCTGAAATTATTTCTACCTTTGGACACCGAACAAAACAGTTTCTCCTTTAAAGATAACATACAACTGTAGCGTTTGGGTGTTCTATAATTCATTTGGTTAACTTGGCACTGAGGCTGCATGAAAGCATCTGTGTCTGGCAAGTATTTCTGTTAATCGCTGGGTGCTCCAGCATCTCGTGACCTGTAAAACGTACAGCACACCACCTGCTTACTTGGCCTCCTCTACTCTTTGTTCCAAGCCTTGTGTTATGCAACATCTGCCACGGGCATGCAGAGGTGTGATCTTACAGGTACAGTCTTTCACAAACACTGAGCTGGACAGGAAGATGCGTGCAGCTGCTGGGTGATGTGAGGGCTGAGAGCAGGAGCGACTGGACTTGGACTTCCTGGGAGCCCCTCTTTGTCAGGCAGGATGGTCAAGAGGGATGGTACTTAAGTTAGAAGGCTTGTCTCTGTCTATCTGCAGAGGCCCATTCTTACAGAGGTAAGAACAAAGAAAATGACTTGTTAAAGTGCTGTGTGAACTAACTGGTACTAAAGTCTGCTAAGAAGCAGGAGGAAAGAACAGTTTAGCAAGTCATTCTCCAAACAAGTTCTGCTTTATCCTACTCGACCTAGCTGAAATTCTTCATAGGGCAACGTTCATGCCAATTTTGCATTTTTCAAAGTGAAGTTCCCTTAAATCAGAACTCATCCCGCTCTGCCAGATATCATGAAAGCCTCCTGCACCTGCCCTCTGTCCTTGCTTCCTGACCATTCTCTGTGACACTGTGATACCATAATCACTGAAGGACTCACCAGTTTCTTGCAACTAAAATGTCAGTCTGGGGACAGTGGACAGAGAGGCTAAGGGAGGAGGTGCCAGGAGTAGTAAAAGACCCTGGGCCTTAGAGTCTCTGAGATTTGGGGTTCCAGATCTCCATCTGCCACAGATAATGCCAACCAGCTTTAGCCACAAACCCCCAGTTTTCCTTCTAATTTAAGAGAAAATCGAAGTTCACTAAACAGTCATGCTGGAACACTGAGTGCAAAGCAACAAGAGGCAGAGGGAGAGTGTGTATCCCTCTGGGTTCTGGAGGACAGAGACTCTGAGGTGCCAGGCAGGGCTCTAGTGCTGGGTCCCACCTCAGCCGGGCAGTCATACCGGGCTGCTGCTGGGCCTGCTTGGTCCCTGTTCTCTTATGGCTCAGTGGGCTCCGGACAATGCCATGCTGCTTGCACAAGTTTTTGGCTGGGGTCAGGTACTAGGTGTGGCAGTGGCCATCCTGGCCTGCTCAGTGCCCCTCCCATTCCAGTGGCTGCTGCAGTCACAGCTGGCTTGCAGATGTCCTGAGCTCAGCCTATGGCGTCTGTGAACAGCCCACCCAGGCAGGGACAGTGAGGACATGCCTGTACCCTCCTCCCTGGTCAGTGGCCCTAATCTAGCAGGCCTCTGTGTTGTGGCTCTCAAAAGCTTGCCGAGTCCAGGTCAGGATTCAAAAGCTCCCCAGATCAAACTGCAACAATGTGAACATCTGTTCAGGCTGTGGGCAGTGTTCAGATAGGGGCGCCTCACACACCGTCACAGGCACCTGCAGTCACACCTGCTTAATTTGTCCAGGTACAGAGGGGACACACTGAATTCACACCAGTGCAGCTAACACTGCCTGATAAAATTTCATGGGTACTCGTAGATCTTTACTGAAAGTGACCTAAAATCCCTGCGCTTCCCACTTCTCCAGGATTACAGCCACGTGGACAGCAGTCTTCAGCTTCACGAGTTTCCTATTTTTCCTGCAGTCCCTGATATGGGCTGTAGCAGCCCCCGAGACTGAGCACTCTCACAGGGATGGGCAGAGCAGCTGAGGACACTGCCTGCTGCAGTGCCACACCACCTTCTGTCGATGACAGTCATTATCTCTCTTTTGTAAAAGGCTAACTAGGTCCAGGAAGGTTCCAAATGCACCCAAGTTAACCCAACCTAGCAGGGCTCAGGTGTGAACCCCAGACTTTCACCCTCGTCCTTATCCTAGGTCCTCCTGAATATCAGATGGTATCAATGTCCTAAAGACTGTGTCCATACTATCAGATTTATTTCTGTATTTATTAGGCAATACACAAAGAAATAAACAAGAAGTGGAGGAGAGAAGCTACAATGGTTTTCTTTCGAAATAATAATTTTTAAAAATGAACTAACTGTTCCTCACTTTGAGCAGTACAAGACCAAAGCTGCACCTGGAGAGCATTCAGTCTTCACGACACACTAAGCCGATTAGAGAGAAGGTTTCTCTCTTCTCCCAGACACATTTGTATACATCAGCGGGGGCTCATTCCATCTGAACTCTGAACCCATTACTCACCTTATAACTAAATCACATGCCCGGCTGAAAGAGTAAATAAGCATAAAGCTCTAAGCACAAATTAGCCCCAGTGAGTTGTTAATCATGCACAGCCAACCAGTATTAAGGCTAACTTGATCTTTCAAACGTTTTATGGAAAGCAGTTGTCAAGCTTTCTCTGGTAAAGCCCACAAGGTCCATAAAGCTGGAGGCTCCAGACCTCACTCTGCAGACAGGGAGGGAGGGAGGCATCAGAAGCCACGCTTGACCCAGGAGTCCCCGGGGGCAGCATTGCAGGGCCTCAGCCCAGCTCACGCCCTGCTGCTCTGCACACACATCACAATGTCTGGCAGAAGGTGGTTTCTGTTTTCCTTCGTGACCTGGGGGAAGAAGCAAGAGAGCTGGCTTCAGAATTCCTTCCACCTGGCACAAGAAATCTAAAAGAAGAGCCTGGAAGGCTGGGAGAGGCAGTGGAAGCCCAGATCTTCAGGCTTCTCTAAGACAGCACAGAACCAAGTCCCACCGTCAGCTTCTGCAGGGACAGCTCGGCCACAGACAGTGGCTCTGAGTGCTGATGGTGGCCAGCCTGGGGAGAGTCTGAGCTGTGAGGTGTGGACAGAGATGGAGAGGCAGGAGGGACCTGCAACCCTGCAGCTCAAATGAGAAGAAGGAAACACGGAGAGAAGCAAGGAGGACCACGGGCTGTGGACCCAAGGGAGCAGCGGGCGACAGTGAGCTGCTCAGCGTCCAGTGAGGCTCCAAAAGGCTGGGGCAGTCCGCTCCCCACTCCCCACCGACAATCTCAGTGCTGCAAGGTCCTTGCTAGGCCAACTACTCCTTTAAAAGCAACAGGGAAGCTGAGGCGGGCGAAGTGACAGCCGCATGGTGCAGACCGGAATTGCCTCCCGACCCACGGTGTGTCCTCTGTAATTAATGCCCGTACAAAAACACATGAAGGTAATGACAAGTTATTCCCGCTTTTCCTTGTGGTGATGGATATATCTTATTTTACCTACCCATTTCCCCACTGGTGGACATCTGGAGTATTCCATAATGCCCTTACGAACACACATCCAAGTTTCTCTGTGGACGTGTTTTTCAGTGCTGTGGGCTAAATACCTAGGAGTGGAACTGCTTTATGGCAACTCCCATTACCTTTTTGAGGAACTGCTGGGCTGTTTTCCAGGGACTACATTGCTCGCGTTCCCACCAATGGCGTGTGATGATTGATCCTGTTTCTCCACATCCTCGCCAACACCCATCATTTTCCACTTCTGCCATGTACTTTTTACAGCCACCTCAGTGGGTGTGAAGTGTCTCACTGTGATGTGCCGCGCACGCCTTCATGTGCTCTCCCAACACTTGTGTGTCTTCTTGGGAGCAATGTCTATGCAGACCCCAGGCCTGTTGTTTACTTTTTTTATTTTACTGTTGAGTTTTTTGAGTTCTTTACATATGCTAGGACACAAGGCCCTCTCCGATGTACGATCTGCAAATACTTTCCTTCCGCGAGCTCTTTTCCACCTGCCTTAGTCATTTTCTCAAATGAGACAGCATACAAAGAGAGGTTTAATTTGGCTCATGTTTCAGTCCATCGTCAATCAATGGACTACAAGGCAGGATGGAACGGCACAGGGGCACAACAGGGGAAAAGCGGCTCATGGCATGGTGGCTGGAGAGCAGAGTCAACAGAGAAGCCGGGAAGGGAGATCTACCTTTCTGGGTCCCCCCACCTCTCTCCCGCTGTAACCTGACCACCTCTTTTGACCACAACCCCCTCCTAACAGCAAGTCAGCTGCAATGCCCCATAATCCAGTCACTTTCAAAAGCACCACCTAGGAGCACATGTGGCTCTTGGGGGACTTCTAGATGTAAATCACAACAACTTACTTCCTAGGATCCTTTGAAGCACACAAGTTTTAATTTTTAAAAGAATCTAACATTTCTATTTTTTTTGGTTACTTTTGTGTTGAGTATTGGATTAAATAAAGCTTTGCCTACTGCTGCTCACAAAGACTCCTGTATTTTCTGCTGAGAGTTTTACAGCTGTGGCTTGTATATTTAGATCTATAATCCACTTTGAGTTAATTTTTATGCATGGTATGAAGGGCCCAACTTCATACTTTTGTGTACAGATATGCAGTAGCATCAATACTACATGCTGAAAACTAATTTTTTTCCCTATTCAATTATGTAGGCCTCCTTGTAGAAAATCCAATCCACTGATCACAAATCTGAGGCTCCACTTCTGGACGCCCACTCCCACTGTATTCCAATGGTCTAAACATCTACCCTTATGCCAAATCTACCCTGTCTCAATCTATATTTTATAGTAAAATTTTAAATTGAGAATGGCAGGCTCTAGCATCCATTCTTTTTCCATATCATTTTGGCTGGACCTCTTTTATGTCCACGTGCTTGATTTCCACAAAAGAAACTCTGATGACTTCAGATCTAGATGTTGCAGACAACCCCAGCTCCGAAACTGCAGAAGAAAGGAGCACAGGGCCAGTATTATACTTTTGGCAAAATGGAAAGAGTTTAGGTCCTGCTTGAGGTGGGTAAAAAAAGAAAATACATAGCAGAAAGATATGTCTGAAAACTTCTGAACCAGAGAGGAGTTGGGACTACTTCCTACTCTTCTGATGGCCTTGCAATCCAAAAGGGAAAACTGGAGAATCAAAATCACTTTATGGAAAAAGCAAGTTGAAACGGCTCTGAATTCATATTCTCGTAATAGATTCTGATTATATAATATTTTTATGAAGTAGAAAAATGAAATAAGTTCTAAGCAACTAAGCTATGGCCATGTACCAGAATCACCCTGCCAGTGAAGGCAGCAGTAAAGCAGATCACATTGGTGCTCACTTTGGAGTTGGCTGCGTGACAGTCTGGATCCCAGCTCTTCCCCAACTAATTAAGGGACCTTGAACGGATTTCCCAGCCTCTCTGCACTTCCACTGTCTCGTGTATAAAATGGAGGTGCTACTGCCTATCTCCTGAGGCTAATGCACCTGCATCTCTGAGCCCAGAGCCAGCCCGGAGTGCTCAAAGACTGAGCCACCTGGAGCTCCACCGAGATGTTCCTCAGCCCCAGGGCTCTCTCACGGCTCCACACAGAGCATCTCCAGCTTCCAGTACAGGAAGTGTTACCCCAGAAATCAAAAGAAACTGGCTTTCTAAATGGCACTCAGAAGACCACACTCACGTATTTTACTTTTGTAAGAAGTAACCAAAAGGAATAAAAATTGTTTTCATGCTATTAATTAGAAAACTATAATATCGATCCACAAAAGTCTTTGTCATTTGCCTCTATATTATTAATATAATAATAAACTTTTTTCATAGTCTCAATCAAATACCAGTGGTGACATTTGGAGAGCAATAAGCCCCAGAGGACATGACATAAAACTATGAGCAAACTTCTGTGAGAGCAATCTCTCCTTTAGAAAGGTCACGGTCATTACCCAAACACAGCAGGCATTTCCAAGTGTTGGTCTGGAAGACTTGGGAGTCAGAATACAGGAAGGACCTGGCACCATACCTGTGCCCTGCAGAGCAGTAGAGCACCTGGGCTAGCCAGGGTGGGGAAACACACTTGCGATATGACCAACGAGGAGGAGGAGGGAAGGAGGGAGAGGAAAGGAGAGCGCAGCTGAGCTGCACACACAACTGCACTGCACCAGTTCATGTGAACCTCGATAGGAGGCAGGAAAGAAGCCTGCCAGCAGCCTGGAAGAACAGATGGCACCCGCACACTGCCGCCAGAAACACACGTACCACATCCCAGCACTGGCTGAATCCGTCACAAGGCCACCAGCTTCAAAAAGACCTAGAGCTGTTCAAAACCCTGCTGATGTTATGGCCTTGACGAGGAGGCAGCAGGATATAAATCAGTGCCTTCTCTCGGGGAGAAGTCAAATCTGAAGGGACACGATGGGCAAGTTCACTCAGAGTTGTGGAACCCAATCTGCAAAAGACAGTAGGTCACCTCCCCAGCATGTGCCCTGGCTGCTCCCTCTGCGCCTTCGGGCCTGCGTTCAGTGTGCATTCTCTGAGGGGCCTCTCCGGGTGACAACCGGCTGGCCTTGGTCTCCTCCCCGCAGGTCAACTTGCCAGCACCTGCCCCGTGCCTGGTTCCCTCCCCACCCCCCATGGGCAGAGGAGTGTGGCGCACAGGGCTCTCTGGGGCTTCCTGACAGGTGAAACTGTCTAGAGAGACTCAGTGGTGCTTTGCTAGGGAACAGAAAGAGCAGCGACTCTCCAGGGGATCCTCACTTCCTTCTGAGGAGCCTTCCTTCTTTCTGTTCATCTATCTTAACACATCACATAACACTACCGTTTCTGCCTCAACTGTTAAACCTAATTTTAAATGTTCAAGAAGTACAGCGCGCACGCACAGCTTTCCTCTCTGCACGGCCCCTCCCCTCCCAGTGCCCAGAGCCCTCTCTCGCGCCTTCTGATGGGAGAGCTTCCCGTAGCCATCCCTAAGGGAGGCCTAACGGCACCCGAGCTCTTCGTCTCATCTTCACTCCCGAGGGTCGTTCCACTGGGCGCGGAGTCCTTCCAACACACTGGATGAACGCCCCTGGGGGCGATGAACCGGTCGCCGGTTGCTGTGGCTTTGCAAACGCTGCCTTCCATTTTCATGAGGTCACCTATGTCGTGTCTTCACACAGGTTCCTGAGGGTTTATCCTGCTGGGAGTCGTGCACCCTCTTAAATCTGTAGCTTTGTCTTCTAAAGACAGGAAAATTTTAGACACTATTTGCTACCACTTGCTTTTCTATTCTGTCTGCTCTTTATTGGGTAATTTCTGTTGTTTTACCTTCAAGCTCACTGAGCGTTTCTTCTGTCACCTACAGTCTGCTGGTGAATCCAATGAGTGTCTTCTTTTTTTTATTTTTTATTTTTTGGTACCGGGGATTGAACTCGGGTCATTGTATTGAGTGTCTTTTTAAATTGGCTATTTTACCAATCTAAAATTGTCATTTGCTTCCTCTATATTCTAGACCTTTGCTGAAATTTTCAGTATGTTTGTGACTGATTACTGAAGGTTTCTGTGAAACCTTTTTAGTATTAGGCATTTTTGTGAGGTCCTGCAATCCCAACATCTTGTCTTCTCCCTGTTTGGAATATGTGCTGCCGAAGCGAGCACTCTGCTCGCTGTTATGTATGCTGTCTCCTCATTCAGGGTGAGATGTTCCGGCTGTTGTAGGACAAGTGACTTTCAATGTGTCTATGGTGCCACTCCTTGGCCTGAGGCTCTGCCAGCCTGCCCACTCTCCACCCCTCAGGTCTTCTATGTCCGTTCTACATACTGCCTGTCCACAGCAGCTGGCTGCAGTCAGTGGAGAGAGAGAAGTGGTCAGTTGTATCTTGTGTAAAACCAGAATGTTCCCAGGGGTTTTTATGAAAAGCAGATCTCAGCTCACAGACACTAGGAGGAAGATGTCCCCACAGTGCTCCTGGGGTTGGGGGTTCCTCCCACAGCAGGAGCTCAGTCCCACCTTCACGGGACCCATGCTCCGCCAACCCCTGTCACAGAGCTCATCGCCTGCCATTATAAGGATGAGGTTCCACACTAGAAGCAGCAGCACAGAATAGCAGGGCACAGTGCCCCGCTCTCAAGGATTAACTCAGAGCCAACTCCTTCCTTTACAGTCGCTAGGAGCAATGATTACCATGTCTGGAGAACACCTTCTGTATCACAGAAGGAAACGTGGTATTTCTTAAGACATAACAGTTATTTCTGGACATAAATGTCAACTCCCTTCAACCTGCTGTAGGTCACTGTGACAGGATGTGACCGCAGAGAGAGACAATCCCTGGAGCCTAATGCTGGCCAGTTTCCTGGCCTGGGAGCCACGTGACTGAAAATGCATTTTCTCTTTTTGCGTTTCACTACTCACTGCCTCTATCTCCAGACGCTCTATATTATGACCAAAACCCAGCGTAAGGCCCTGGAGAGAAGGCCACCAGGATACGAGTCTTAAGGCTCTGAGATCTGCACTCCAATGTCTCCTCCCTCGACTGCCTTTGCCTAACTGTCCCTCCACGCCTGCCCCGAGCACCACACTGCCTGGCTACTTTTCTTTGCCTTTATCAGGATCTGAAACAACTTACTTCACCTGCTTATGGTTCTGGCACCCTGCTCCTCCCCTAGAACGTAAGCTATGCGACAGAAGGACTTGTTCACCCAGGTTCAGAGGGATGCCTGGAGCATGGCAGTGCTCAAGCAGTGACTACCAAATCATGAGCAACAGAAGAAGAGGCGACAGACACATTTTTCCAAGTTTGGCTGGTCTAGCCCTAAAGCTGCTCACTGCCAACCCCAGAAAACTGTGTGGCCACATGTGGATGTCCCACGAGGGCCAGAGGGCCGGGCTGGTAGGCCATCAGTGATGTAGGGTACCCAGTCCATACTCTCCCAGCTACAAGGACCTCGCCGACCTTGCTCCTGGCACATATGGGGCTCTGCATACCTCAGGGGCCACAGTCCTGCCCCCAGGCAGCTCAGTTCCAGGGTCAGGGTCAGGCCTACAAGTGTGCACATCTCACTGGCTCAGGAGACCCTATACGGGCACCCAGCAGCCCTCACCATGAGTGACAAGACACCAAAGCTATGCTGCTAAATACTGCTGCCCGCCTGTGGCTACTGTGGCTGAGAAATTGTTTTAAATCCTATTTAAATGTAACTGGCTTAAACATAAGCAGCCACAGGTGGCTGGTGGCTGCTGCACTGGGCAAAGAAGCCAGTATTTCCATCTTCCCAGGTTATTCGGACAGACAGTGCATCTCATTGAGCCAGGTCTCTTCTCCCCATAAGCAAGAGTGGGTCAGTTTAAAGGGAAACCATTTGGCCAGGTGTGGCGGGACATGCCTGTGATCCCTGAACTTTGGGAGGCTAAGGCAGGAGGACTGCAAGTCCAACTTAGAAACTTCAGTGAGAATCTCACTCAAAATAAAAAAAACACACACACACAAAAGGGCTGGTGATATATCTCAGTGTGAAGGCCTGGGTTCAATCGCCAGTATCATAAAAGAGAAAGAGGGAGAGAGAAAGAGACACAGAGGACTCTCTCCACAAAACCACATTTGTTTGTGTCTGAATCCCAACTGTGGATCTGAGATCAACTGCTTAGGCAATTCTGGAACTAGATGGGTCCAGTGCCCAGCAGTGTTGGGGAGAGGATGTGGGAGAAGACCCTCAGTGCTTCCCACAATCTGTTCTGTCATCGAGGAGAGGTATGAACTAAGTTCTGGGAAAGTCAGCTCATCGCGCTTGGGCTCCAGCACCTGGAGATGCGAGGCAGAGCTGGATGTGCACATCTGCAACTTCGCGCAGACCGAAGGGGAGGCCGGCTTACTCACACTGAACACCTTCACGTCGGGCCTGCTCCTGATCTCCTCCACGAGGGCCAGGGGTTTCCCTTTGGGGACTGGGATTGTTCCAAGGACCACAGTGCCTGGCGAGGACAGTGTCTGGCGGACAGCGAGGATGAAGGGCTGGCTGAAGAGCTCCATCTTCCCGATCTCGTCGATGACACACACTCTCTGCCCTGGGCCGCCGCTGGAACCTGCCTAGGAGGGGAAAGACAGTCACGGGGACACCAAAGCCGCGCTGATCACAGGCCCAGGGTTTCACCTCAATCATCCACCAGCTAACGGTGCGGCAGGCGGGTGGGCTCTCCCTGGAGGACAGGAGACTGTCCTCAGCAGTGCACAAACCAGATGCCTGCAGACTCATAACATTCAACTCCCTGGACCCCTGAGCTTGTCTCAAAAGTTATATTTCCTTAGAATGGATCTTACAGTAACTGCCTTTGGATTTATGCATGCCCATAAAATATGACTTTTTTAAATTTTTAAAGTTTTATTTATTTGGTACTGGGGATCGAACTCAGGACCTTGCACTTGCGAGGCAGTGGAACCACTGAGCTAAATCCCTGGCCCTCACCCAGAAAATAAATGGCACCCAAATACCTCAGGTTTAAAAGAAATGAGATAGTAAGGCTGGGAACCCTTCCATATACACATATATGCAAAAATGCATACGTGTAGTTTGGAACTGTAAGGATTCCCTTGCTACCTACCGGAGACATAGGCAAATCCCTGTACATTCCATACTCTGATCTATGAGGCTTGTGGGAAGAACTGAAAATTAAAAGGAGTCTTAGTGAAAGAAAGGGGACAGTGGTACACACCTGTAATCCCAGCACTCTGGGAGGCTGGTGCAGGAAGACAGCAACTTGGGAGTCCTACCTGGGAAACTTACTGAGACACTGTCTCAATTAATTTAA